TAATTTACGTATCTCAGAAACTCGCATTTTAAACATTTCACGGTAAGGAATCTAATGTCCGCAATCGCCCACGTCCTTTAGTTCTCGGCCATTCAACGCCGCGCTTCGAGGAACTGCGCGACGTCCGCGGTAAGTGGGTCACGACCTCTGCTGGAGCTGTGGCAACCGGAGCCGCCGCCAACGGAGGAAAGGGGTGGCAGCCCTGGGAGGTCAACAGGGCTGCTACGAGAAGCCGAAGGCAACCGGAAGTGGAAAAGGACGCAGCGCTGAGCGATGGAGGCAGGGCGCCAGGGTCAACGAGCAGAATTATCAGAGGGCAAAGAGCAAAGAGCTAAGGGCTTAGGGGCAGAGTTAAGTAGCGGCTCGAAAACAAACGCCAACAGATTATGATGTACCAAAGTGGGAGACCATGTTGATGGCTGGGGGAATGGGGATACAAAGGTCAATGAAGCTTTCATCATCCAAGCAAAGGTTGGAAGGTTGATAAGGTCTTCGTAGTACGGGAAACGATTTACAATGAGATTAATCTAGAAAAGAACGAAATCAATGCGTGAATAATACAAATTAACAAGAAAAACAACACAACGGAAATCCCTCTCTCAGGTTGAAAATCAATCGCTTTGTTGTTTTTTCGACTTTTTCGGATGAACTCTAAATATACACATTATTGACATTATTGAGGTCTTTTAATGTTAATTAATTCCTTAATAATTCTTGACAAACATTTTAAAAGTAACTTTTTGCGAGTTAATTGTAAACGTTTCTTTATTTTTTACTATTTTATTAATAACAATACTTTATATTACCCATTACTACTGAATCCAGCAATGCTTAGCTACTGCAATGTAAAAACTTCTCCTGCTAAGGGACACGTGATTATTAATCACATTTTACGCTACGCTCTGCAAAAATGTTAATAGATGAACGACCTTCTTGCCTATATGGGTTTGTTCTCTATCGTGGTTTGGACAAAGTTGTCAAGTATCCTTTCGTTAAAACGTTCCCCCTCTTGGACATACATTCGCCATGACACTGTCCTGGAGAAATTAGATTTACTTGTCCGAGATAACGTTCAAGTAATAATTCCCGCGAATAGTTCACAATCACAGAGCATAATATGCAGCGGAGACGCCCTCAATACTTGAGGGTGCTGCGGGTTATATAGAGCTGTCCAGGGGCGCTTGAGTCTGCATAAACGCATAAATTAATAAACGCGCGTCTATATACATACGCACATGGCTACATTCTGCAGGAAAGTGCAAACAATATGTTGGAAAATTTTATTGCATTTTGATTAACAATACGACAGCGCAAAAAATACGAACAAAGACTGATTTTTATATATGAGATTACACATTTTATTAAACATATTGCATTACATTTTAATAATAGATATTTTTTCGAAATATTTATTCCTTTTTTTAACTCTCACTCGAAAATTTACATTTGATGATAGATATTAAAGAATAATTCTGAACGTAATATCAAAAAAAATTCGTATAGTAAAATTGTATCTTGAAGTTTTTAAAAAATGTATGTTTTTTAACACTTTAAGATTTGTACAGAGTAACGTAAGAACACATTTTAAATTGACCAAAAACATTTTCTTAGTTGGGATTCTATATAATAAAATAGTTATTTTGTAAAGCATTACCCGTTAAAGTACAGGAGACACTTCTTATTACCATGCAGTACCTGACAGAAGCTGCTACATGACCGAGGTTGTTAGAGTGTGCCGGCTTAGCTCCTCAGTCTGGAGAGTCGCAGTTTCGAGTCCCGCCGTGAGCATGGTTGTTTGTCTCTTGCCTTTCTTGTATGTGTGTTACCGCGGAAGGCCTGAGTTTGCTGACCACAGACCGAGGAGTCCACAAATGTGTCTAGTGTGAAAAGGGTAATATGAGTCCCCATGAGTGTCATAGTGAGTATTCGACGCGAATAGTCGAAATGCACATCCTCTGAAGATTGGAAAAGCCCAAGAAGAGAAAGAAAAGCAGTATCTGAAATTCACTAATATGAACTAATGAACCACAGACCTAATACGAGCACCTGAATATGTCAACCAAAAACATTATTGTTATTACACGCAAGCACAAACTTTCCATGCTTTGTAACAAATAAACTCAACAAGTAAGAAGTGGCAGGGAGTTATGGCGGTGTTGCTTTGTGTCCGTGGAAAAAGATGTCCATGCGGTGGTGCGAGCTGAAAGAGGCGAGCAGCGGTGGGGGCGGGACGGGGCGTGAGAGGATGGGGGAGGGAGTCGAGGGCCGAGAATTCGCGAACCCAGGGCGCTAATTGCTCGGGGAGTAATGAGTGGGCACGCCCTCTGGCGGAGGCGACGCGGGCAACGTCGACGGCCCGCCCATTGGCCATGAGTCTACGTATCGACCTCATCCTGCATTTGGTCATCCCTCTTGGACTTCCCACCTCAGGCAATTTTTTATGCCTAAGATGATCTTTCACCGTTTCAATTTCAACTGCCATTTGCCTATTTTCTGGTTGATATCGTCATAGGTATTTCATCCCAAATTTTCTCTTACCGGACACCTACATTTTCTCAGCATTAGTGTTTTTGATTTATTACTTAAATTTACAAGCACATCAACCTATGTAGTTATTAATGAACGCATTACAATATTGCGTTTTATGTGAATGTTGTTCAGTTTATACATACGCATTCAATAAAGATTATATTATAACAATTTTTTCGACAGAGCAAAAATACAATTTTGTACTAATTTTGGGTGAAGTTAAGGTTTTCTTCATACCTTCGGCTATTTTCAATCCTTTTCTTCTCTTTTGTATTCTTGAATATTCCAGTACCACATGATTGGTGAATAGGGATGGGTAGGATGAGCAGATCAGATGGATTTGACAGTGTAACGAGAATAGTTTAGTCTTCAGAACCATTTCTGAGTCGGGTAATACAAATTCAGCAATTTTAAAATATATGAATAAACGCTTGGTAGTTTAAATAATTCAGGTATTAATTTTCTTTCAATATTTCTCTTTCTTATAATCGAACTTCCTTAACTTGGTAAACGGCAACTTCGTCTTCCAATCATTGGCAGGATAACTGCATATGTTATACATATGTTTTGACAAATTTAAAGAACCTCTTTTAGGAACAAAATTGTCTGAAACCTTGAATCTGACATCCGCCAGCACAACTATGCTGAACTCAATATAACACTGTCTTTAACTAACACTTGTCAATATAACACCCTTTATGAGCTTAGCTGCCTCGCACCACTACAATCACCTCTGTCGCTTCATTCCCGCCCCCCTCTCCGCCCCCCTCCACTCCAACGGCCCCCCACACTCCACCGCCCCCACTCACACGACAAGCCCTCTCACACTCCTCACAGTCTCCCCTCACATTCCGCCCGCCCCCTCACACTCCGCGACCCATCTTAAACTCCGCCGACCCCCCTTCACACTCCACCGCCCCCTCCCACTCCGGCGCCCTCTCACACTTTGCCGCCCCCACCTCACACTCCGCCCGCCCCCCCTCACACTCCACAGGCCCCCCCACACACACCACAAACCCTCTCACACCTCCACATACACGCACACTCCCTAACATTCCGCCAGGCCCGTCACACTCCGCCCCCCTCTCACACTCTGCGCCCTCCTTCACTACCGGCGCCACTCAGTCCGCCATAGATTCCTGAACTCCCCCACCTCTCTCCGCTACCCGCGTCTCGCCTTTCGCGGTCCCCCACCCCCTCCTCCTCCTCGCCCGCCCCCGACAGAGGCCCTTCCAGATTACGCGCGTCCGCATCGCGAGATCATCGCCGCGATAACGCGCCGCGCCGACAATCCCCTCTTCCGCGCGCCCGCCGCGCTGCCGAAAAGCACCGCCCCGCGCCGCATTCATCAGAGCGGCGCTAGGGCGCGGCGCGGCTTGACGGGGCGGCGCAGCAACTGCGAGTGCTCCAGCGGCTGGCGAGCGCTGCCCCGACGCCGCCCCCAGACACTTGGGTACTCTTCGGCACTGCTCGGGGATCTATGATATGCCGAGCTTCATTCATTGAACTATTGTTAGAGAAAATTCTAAGCGGAACTCAAGGTTTTTTCTGTAGTATTTCAGCGCGGAGGAAGTGGAATGTACTGAATTGTTGCATACTTATTCACCCATTCATCTAATCTAATGTTATAAAACATAATTAAAAATTAAGAAAACTTGATGATTGTTTATTCTCACACTGAATGACCAGGGTCTTGGAGACCTTCATAATTTCTTTTTTAAGAATTTTGCCTCAAAATTAGTTTCTACAAACCGCGACTCCCTGTAAATTAACTTGTACGGTTTTGATAACGCGCTCACGTTCTGATTAATGTTCCGGCTTGCTGCTGTAAGATATATATTTGTAGCAACGTAAAGGCCCGTAGACTCTGGGGCTTCATTAGTGTAAGTAATTGGCAGTATAATCTGACTTTGTATCATATAAAATTATCAGAATTATTAATTGTTTGTGAAAAGCATTTATACCATATGTAATGTTGTTCAGAAAATATGTATACATTCCATTATTGAATATTATTAATTATTCAAATTTTGATATTTATAGAAGTATTACCACTGCTCTCCTCTCTTGCAATCAATGATATTACCATATATATATATATAATATATATATAATATATATATATATATATATAATATATATGTATATAATATATATATATTATATATATATATATATATATTATCCAAGTAATACCAATTAATCCACAAAAATAAATATAATACATACCAGAAAAAATCTCTATCTAACTATATACATATCTCGCGTTATTTTTTATAAACATTTGACATATTTTCAATGTTTATACAAATATCGGCTTTATATAATATATTATTGTCTTCCAAAATCATGCAATTACTTTTTTATTTTAATGAAGGCATTATCATATCCACTATAATGATGATGATGATGTACTATACTACTACTACTACTACTACTACTACTACTACTACTACTCACTACTACTACTACTAACTACTACTACTACTACTACTACTACTAGCTACTAATAATAATATATAATAATAATAATAATAATAATAATTATTATATTTATTATTATTATAAACTCTCCCTTATTAGTACCGAGCGTCGGTATTTGAGTCTGCTCTTCAATCTCTCCATCATTGTATTATTTTTATTTTTGAAAATTTGTCTAAAATACCCAAAGTCTCTAAATATCTTCTCTAAGTTATTTCAATAAAACAAAGAACAAAAAGGCATACCCTTGTATATTTCACATCAGTTGAAACTCAATTTAAGTCAGGGCCCCGGGATCCTGGAGCTCCACTTACGTACGAGTAATTAAAGGAGGTGCTTCAGTTAAGAGTTAAAATAAAGGTGATAAATCACTTTGAATTATCTGAAAATTTTCTGAAATCTCTTTTATTGTTCATACTTTTCCATTATTTATATATCCTGTATGAAGTGAAAAAAAAACATTTGAGTTTAGTTATTTTCTTTTGTTGCAACATAGAACTGCATGAATCTTTTAGAATTTCTACAAAGTTCTGTACGCGTATTTCGCCAAATATGGAATCTTCTTCAAAATAAGTGTTTTATATATTAATATGTTCTCTTCGTAGTTTTTTATTTTCAGCGAGAACAATATTTTGTTACAGAAATTTATCTTCGTCTGAAATTATTCATATTTTTATGTAGTCTAGAAATTTCAATTTGCTGTTCATTAATAACTTTAGTTACCTAGTGCAAACAAAGTCAATGAAATTAACTGTCTTCTGAGTTAATACATCTATTAACACAATAAAGCTGTCACTCAACAGGAGCAAGCAATTTGCAGCATATCATTCAAAAAAATAACATTCGAAAATATATCTTTTCAAAATTGCATAACTCTTAAAACATCAAAACACACACAAAATATCACTACTTTAACATGACCACATGCATTACATAACGTATCTGTTGGTACAAATACCTCTGTGAATACTCAAATTTTACTTTCAATTTTCTCTCGGTAATTTTAGACCTCTGTGTACCTTTAAACATTTACTTTTCCTTCCACTTAAAGCGCGAACCCTTTCCACTCACACCGTTTGCACGAGAGAGTAATTGGGTAACGTAGAAGATTTCACCTGTTGCTACGAGTTATTTTCAAATAATAGTTTATTCGGCGTTTAGTTAGTGTCTGACCTAGCTTCTCTTCCAAAATCGTCCTACGTTCGCACGGCCCTCTCCGTATTTACCCACTGACTTAAAAACGCTTCTGCACGAAAAACTGCAATCAATAAAATTGACAATATCTTACAACTCGTTAATTTCGTTTCTTCCTCCATTCACCATTCTATAAGTGCAGAGCTCGTCAGAAAGGCGGATAGGGAGCTGAGAGTTGCCACCAGCAGTCTGAGCAGAAGCAAGAGCAGGGTCTGTTCAAGGGTGCGAAGGGTAGAAGGAGGGGGTCAGACGGATTAGTTTCACCCGAGAGATTTGTCTGTACATCACGGGAAAAGAACCAGGCGACTCTGGCACTAATAGTCTTGTGATGTTTAAAACTCAAATGGGAAGAGTTGTATTTTATTTAATAAAACGGGATATAACGTAAAATGTTTGCCTAGCGTGCAAAATTTTTATTGGTTTAAAGTTTACTTCAAAAGAAACACGTTTAATTATGCAGAAAAATATGACACATTTGCCTATAAGGAAAATGCAGAGGTTTTAATAGCTTGTAAACAAGTTTTTCTTGTAATGTTAATTGTTGCTTATTCAGGTATTAATTTTTACTTAGCAGTTTGTTGCATCAGGATATGATTATTGAGAAAAGAAATGCCTTATTCATATAGTGTTTTGCACATTTCATAATTTAAAGGATAAAAATAATACTGCAAGTAAACCATCCTTCAATTGCATAAGAATGTCTATGAAACTATGCACTTTTGGATAGTTTGTAATATAACGCTTTTATAAATATATTTACAAATTTATAAATTAATAAAAATTCAAATTTTCCATTTAAATCCGGTTTGCCGTAGTTATCCATTGAAATACCTCCCTTGATATCATTGTTTAATTACGTTTATCTAGTGGTCTAACGGGCGAAAATAACTATCTAAAGGCAATCGTAATTGATATTTTGCTATCTGAGCTCGTAGGTTTCCATGAGTGTCGTCTCTGTTCGAATTATTGTCATAGAAGGGTACGGCCGCATGGATTGTCCGACTAATTTCTCATACCTAAGAATTTGTGCTTTAATCTCCCCGCATCTCTCCCGCAGGGCCTCAGCAGGCCGCTGAGACTCGAGAGCAATCGACTCCAGGCAATGAGATCAATTGGCTCTAGGCAGAGAAACCATGGTGGGCCCTGTCTAAGAGGTTTTGCTGATATTCTCCCCCTAATATAGTGTGTTGAATGCTAAAATAAAACTTTATTTCGTGGTCAAAAATACATTCGCCATTATCCAACGTCTGGTCAATTAGACACACGAATAACTTAAAACGAATTCCTGAATAAATAAGTTTCAAGCAATTCGACTAGCAGGTCATCTCTCCATCTAGAAGGCGACAAAAAATGATTGTTTAATTGACTTAGTCTGCAGGGAAATTGAAAACGTGGCGTCTCTAAATTTAAGAATCAGTAATTAGTTAATTAAAATATACAGGTTGGTCATTTCAAGTGTAAAAAATAACCACATTTTTCATTTGAAGTAGAAAAAAAATTGTAATATGATTTCGCTAAGAAACGTTACGCTTTTCCACTGCAGTTTCTTGACGATGTCTCTTCTTTTGCCACGTTCAGAGGCGAGTTCGTCGAATCACTGACGATAGATCGAAGTATTGTAAAATACAATAGCTATTTTTTAGCAAAAGAATAAAAACGAAAATTTGTGAATTGACAGAATTGGAACACTACCGAAGCAAATTGTGACATTTGCAAGCGCAACACTACCGCTTTCTATTTTTGATCGCAGTGGCATCTGGTCTTAAAGGGCGTAGGGCGTCGCTCTCCCCAGAAAAACCAACCACGGGGAAAGTTACAGAAAATATTAAACTTTCAATAAATAGACTCATTTAATTTGTGTATATCACCAGCGCAATTTTTGAGAACAAATGTAGTTTTTTATTACCTCTAAAGCAAAAAAAAAATCAGAATTGGTCGTATCGTGGACTATTGCGAGTCCGTCCGTAACTGATGCATGCGAGGCAATGGAAGCTTGAGGAATAGTGGTAGTACTAGCAATTGGGCGGGGGCAGGTTGCTGCTGTTAGGGTTTTATTAGGCAAACACCGCGCGTATTAACTTGGCTAAGAATACTGACTCTTACCATTTTATTTCCTAAATTACTGCTTTCCTTGCCGGAAAAATTTTTTTTAAGTTCTTACTTTCGCGTGAGCACAATTGTACCTTTCGTTTTTAATGTAAAAGTTGCCTTAGACAAGAATTAAAATCCCGATTCCTGCAAATTGGTTGTGCACTATATTTTGTAGTTTTCCTCATTCAAGAACTAGTTTGTAGAAGTAAAATGTACGTTATTGTTCGGAGATATATGCTACCCCTCTTAATTTTGTAACAGACCGTCCCCAACTGGTGGTCATAACCTTAGCCCCCCTCCCGGCCAGCCGGCCACTAATGACATATGGCGCTAATAACCTCCCTGAGGCTTCAACAGCGTTTCGAGTCCTGAAAATGCGCACAACAGTGCGGTCATATACAGCGTGTGGCGAAATCTCGAAATTACACAAAACACCTGCTACCTTAATCTACTCTTCTGAGACCAAAACGATATAGGAATTATTTATTGTTTGTATAATGAAGAAGACATTGGTGTGTTTTTTACAATAATATTTACTCAGATATTTATAATAAAAATAAAAATTTAAACAATAAAAAATAGTAAAAATATATAATTATAAAAAAATAAAAAATATAATAATACTTCAAATTGTTGATGTTTCATGCTCTTGATCAAATTTCATATTGTAGATGGATGGAAAGCTTTACGTAGGTTTAGATCATTGAGGATCAATTTAAGGTAGATAATTATTTAGGCTACTGAAGTCTTAATTCCTGTAATCAACTAGATTGATCCTCTATGGTCTAAACCTACGTAAATCTATCTGCAACATTAAATCAGGATCAGCATAAAGAAACAACAACAATTTCAATATCATCATTGACCTTAAACCTAGGAGAACCTACAAAACTGCGTTTTTCAAAGAAATCAAAATTATGGATCAGCGAATTTTGGTTGCATCGCGAAATTATTGTTTATTATGTGAAACTGTACTGCCTACGCTATTGTCAACCGTTGTTTCTATATTGCTCTTGACAAGGTACATGCTAAATGTGCGAAACGTTGAGCTGTTATTAAATATTTAATCTACGAAAGTCTTAATTCCTGGAATCTGCCTAAGATTGATCCTAAATGGTCCAAACCTACATAAAGCTTACCAACTAACTATAATAATAATAATAATAATAATAATAATAATAATAATAATAATATAAATAATAATAATAGCGATAATAAAGGCAAAGAAAAGAAAAAAATTGCATTGTTTGACACATGATAAACCAGTAATATTTCTTGTAATAATATATATTTTGTTTGACAACATTTTTATAATAATTAATATACAACTCATAAGAAACTCATTTTGAATTGTGAGAATATTGACGGAAATGTGTGCCTCTCATGCAAAAAAGTGTATAAATATAATAAAAGTATTGGTCATCACCCTGTTAATTCAAGAATTTTTATATGTATTGTATTTTTGTGTAAATACGTTATATTTGTATCAAATTTTATTTATCACTAACAAAGATTAGGAAATGTGCGGTTAAATGTAAATGAATAGCGAGCATTGGTAGCTTCAGTTCTAAGTCCAAAACCTTTGTTCTGAGAACAGATTGATGCAGTAGATTGAGATTGCAATCTGCTCAAACACACCCAAGTGAAGAGAGCGCCCCTCTACTCGCGGCAGCGCGTGGGATGAGCTGTTTGTCAGAAGCCAACGGAAGACGAGAGTGCCACCCCCTCCCCCGCTTT